TGGTCGTCGAAGAACACGTTTGGTTATCGTAAACACTTCCTCGGTCCAACTAGGTAAGTATCCTTTCTTAAATGTGCGCCTTGCTTTGCCGATTCGTACTTGATCGCCAATGTTAAACTTAAACCGAACGGGTTTGTCTGACTCTTCTCCATAACGTTTTTGCCACACAATGCTCTCGTTGTCTTCATTTACATCAACAGGCCTCATACCAATACTACGATGTCTCGAATGATTATAAGATTTTACCAGTTTCTGGAGAATGTCCACGTACTTGAGCGTGTTCTTCGCTGTAAAGTATTTCCACATTTTCGTCTTGAGCGTACGATTAAACCTTTCGACAATCGATGCCTTGGTCTCGTTTTGCGTCGTGAAAAACCGGATGTTATGTTTCTTCAAAAAGGCTTGAAACTTTCGATTCATAAACTCTGTCCCTTTGTCGGTGTGAAACGTTTCAGGCTTTCGACCCTTTTTAAGTATTTTCTCAAAGGCTTTAACAAGATTTTCTCCAGTCTTTGTTTTTATCGGTTCAGCCCACGCATATTTGCTAAGTACATCGATTACAGTTAAAATGTACTTAAAGCCATTATTGTATTTGCTTATCGAGTCCATAATCACAAGATCCGCCTCCCATTGCTCGTCAATTGCGCCTACAATGACACGGTTCCGTTTGAAACGATATCTTACAGGTTTATGTAAAGTATATGTGTCTTGCTTTTGTAGCCATAGTCGTATTTTATTCCGCGATATCTGATGTTTGCCTTCGTCTTTTACAACACGGTAAATTGAATCTACGCCACCAAAACTTGCGGGACTTTCCGGATTGTAATAGATTTGGCTCAGTTACTTTTCTGCCATCAATGTCTGAGGCTTGAATTACAATTGTCCCTCCACAGCAAGCAGAAATACAACGCACTTTCCGAAAGATGTCTCGGAGGGAAATTTCTGGAAGACTTTTACCACAACAGGGCATCCTTTCACCTCAGAGGTTAGAACGAAATGAACCAGTCAGCAATCATAGACTGACATATAAAGCTATTAGTGTAAGTGAGAGCGCTATTAAAATTGGTGGTTTATTATTCCTTTTCGCCTTTGGGATATGAAAAGTTCGAAAGGCCTCGACAGTTTTTCGGACATGTTCTCGAACGCTTTCCTCGGTGTCACTTTGCACACAAACTAACGCTAAATACGCAAAAATGCGACCAAAGTTTGTCATATTTATTTCTCTATGGACTTGGTCAAGGTTTAGACCAAGAGCATTCACTGCACGATATAGATCTCGATGGTGGTCGAGAATTGCACTTATACGAAACGATAAAGTCTGCTTATCAAAATCGATTTCATTTTGTCTCAACTCGTCAAAAATTACATTTATTTTATTCATCTCACCAGAGAACCTCTCCCCATAGAGGTTAAAACCCAAATGAGAAATGTAAGTGATTTATCTCAATAACATACAGAACACATTCATGATGATAAAGACAATATATTTCGTTTTATTACAGTTATTCATATTTCTTAAGGAATTCTTCATACGCTTCCTTAGCATTAATGTTAGTACTAGTGAATGTTTCTCCCGTGTCTTCATTCTTGTATCGATATTCTAGCGGGTCACTGAATAGGACGAAGCCAGTCTTGGCCACACGAGGTTCGATCTCTTTCCATTCGAAAAATCCACAGCTGTCTATCTGAGGGCAACAGTAAAACAGGCGGTTCTGGGTGGGTCCTTCTTTTTTCACTTTACGTACGGTGCATACCATCCCGTGCTTGCAGCGTGGTCGAAAGCTTTCGTAAATGTCTCCCCATTGCCAAAAGTTGCAAGGATCATGTCGATCAGAACACGTGAAGAAGGGTCTTCCATAATTATCTTTCAATTTATCTTTTACCACACGTAATTTGGCTAATCTCAGATGTGTTGGGCAAATGGGATGATTGGAACCACTATTCTGACAGGCTTCCATTGCTCTCGTAAACAGATAACAATCTTCGTCATGGCAAAAGAACTCGCAGCTCTGTGTTTCGCCACAAAACCAAAACGTACCACGAGCAGTTGTAGAACAAGCAGCTGGTTTACCGTGAAAACATTCCATCGTGGGTGTTGAATACAGACTATGCAGGTGAAAGGACACTAGCTGTATTTATAGAGATGTTGCTGTATTGTAATGCTAATCGATCGCGTTTCCTGCCACATTTGGCCCAGGGCTGCCCGCGTTAAATGGTCGCGCTACCTGTCACATTCGGCCCAGGCCTGCCCGCGTTAATTGGTCGCGCTACCTGTTACATTCGGCCAGGTTGGCCCAGGGCTGCCCGCGTTAATTGGTCGCGCTACCTGTCACATTCGGCCCAGGCCTGCCCGCGTTAATTGGTCGCGCTACCTGGCGTCATAAATTTTGCATACTAATTACTTTCGGAGCAACGTAACGTCATTGGCGGCATCCCTTTGTACTCCAGAGGGGGGGGGGGCTTTACTACTCTCGTCCTTCGGACTCGTGCTATGTTGAGGTCTTTGAAAAACTCACATGTGCATGTTATATCCAAATTGCGCTCGAAACCATGCTATTACCTATACTAATAAAAGTCTTTATTTCAGTACTCAAAACAAACGTCTGAATTTACATATTAAGAATATTACAATTAGATTGTTACTGTTATTTACATCAATTTTTAGTACTTTAAAATTCTAAGGTATGAGAATATAGATATATAGTTTATATAAAATTGAAGAGACATCTATATATAAACGCGTTTATGAACCTCTCAGTTTTAACAATTGGTAGTTCAAAGTCATGGCCTCTCCATCTTGAAGGCCGATTTAACTGACTAGTTAAAAGATTGTGTAAAGCATTCTTATCATCATTTATAATTCTTGACCATAATTTCGTGTCTCTGTTCGATATTGTTGCTTTAGAATGTGTCTGTTGCTTGTATAACCATTTCTATAGGCACGATTGGCATTCGAAACTCATAAACATATATACCATTGCTGGCTCCAGCAACCATTTACAGTCCTACAAATACTGATACCACAAAACATTTGAATATAACCTCCTCTCAGTTTAAAATAGCCCATTTAAATGTCCGCTCATTAAGGAATATTGCACACCTTACCGAGGGTCCGAGTTCAAGGAATTGGTCAATCTTCACAAAATTGATATTTTTACAATTTCCGAAACATGGCTGAACTCCACAGTGACTAATAGTGAAATTGCCATTGAAGACTATAAAATATATTGACTTGACCGGTTACATAAAAGAGGTGGAGGCGTATGCGCCTATATTAAGAAAAATTTTAAAGCATCTGTCCTGAAGGAACTCTCACAAATATCAGAATAAAGCTTTCATCAACTTTGGATGACTATCCAAAGTAAAACGAATAGATCCATTATAATTTGCGTAACATATCGACCACCAGACTGTGCTCTAAACTGTTTTGAAGACCATTTTAAGCCGAAGTACATCCACGTCTTAACTACCCGTATGAATCAACAGATTATCGTACTTGGAGATTTAAACTGCAACATGCTCCATGATAGTCTCCTACGCATACCTGCTTAGCGGGCTGTGCCTTCACGTAAGGTATGCTTACTTTGGCCAAGAATTCCTTTCCTTAAAATTAGCCAATGACAGCTTTACCCACGAAAATTGTGGGGCTTGACCTTTGACCTTGAGGCTTGGGTCGTCAAAAGTTTCAAAACATTTAATCTTGAACATTTCATATCTTCATTTGTACGTATTCATATCTTAAACCGATAATCTGCGAGTGCTGAGAGATATATTTGTTATACATATACCAGTCTACAAATTTACAATATGGAAAAATTGTAAAATCTGTTAGAATTTGTCGAGCTATTGTTTTGAACAGACTGTGTAGTAAAATCGAACAATATCACCTAAACTATTTCGCGATGTTTTGATTACTGTACAAGCGTTTGCAGGTGTTACTGTAACAAGGGTAATATACTGGACAAAGACGTCAAGACAAATTTATAAAGTTACAGTGTACATTAATACTGCGGGTGTATATAATAGATTTATAAATACTAATTGAAGATTATAGAATTCAGCCTATATAAAATACTGAATTGATTCATTGCATATTACGGTTTCTAAGTTTGTATATGACTAGCCAGTTTATAAAGTTTAATAAAATAGTAATTACAAAAGTCGCTCTGATATTGAACGTTCGGAAACTTATAGTATATATTGAATATACATGCCGTCACGCAGTCGCGCCAAGTTCAAAACAAGTATTACCAGTGAATAGTTTTATATACATTTAAGCCTTCGACCTATCGCGTACATTCGTTGGAAAAATATTCAATATTTTCTACTTCGACTGCTATTGATCAGAAAACTCGATCGGTCCACATTTATGGCTGTTCACATTTAAGT